ATACCTCACTGGCCTATTAACAAGACAGCAAAATTCTACCCTTTCCCTTTACCCTAAACCAGGTCTGACTGTACCATAAAGACAGCATAAGTTCTTGCAGCAGCACATTAAAACTTTCATAGTCAGAAGAGGCAAACTGCTGATCTAATTTATAAACACTGTGTCCATTAACATTTTTTCTGAGCATTTGGGCAAAGTGGCTTTTATTCAGATCAAGCAGGAATTTCCCAGACCATTCACAGGTCTTTGCAGACCCCTTATTCCCTTCGACCTCCTTGGTCCTGGGGTCCCTCTTCCTGGAGCCTTACCACTGTCACCAGTGCATTGGATTTTGCATGCTGCTTTGCATCTCTCTTTTGCATCAGACATTCTCTCTTAGACTGGGATCTTCTGCTTTCCCTTAGGCCCTGCTGCATTTCGTAATTGCCACCATGCCAGAACTAAGCCATAGCACAGAACTGGACTTCTGTAAGCAACATTCCCTGAATGCAGCTCAGAGCACTGAGATGCACACAGGGTAAAACAATCTCCTGGCAATCGGACAGCAAGAAGCTTTGCTGCATTGTTGCTGGCTGAGCATCTCAGTACCAGTGCTAATTGGACCTGGAGCAGTGCAAGGAGACAGGCACTGAGCAGCATGCACTGGAGGACTATGAATGTTAATTACAGCTCCAATTCTGGTAGTGTGGTCTGTTGCAAGCTGCAGCAGTTGGATCCTGTCCTGGTGAGGAACAGAGATGCAATTCCCGCATGCAGCACAAGCTTTTTCTTCATTTGAATTTGGGTCCATTTCTTCTCCACTCACCTGAGAACTGAGCTATGGGAACTAGGAACTCTTCAGTTCCTCACGCCAATTCCAAGATCAAGACCAGTTAAGAAATTCATTCTAGGGGACTTTTCTTAACAAAGTCATCTCCTCTTCTTGTCTTCTGGGCAGGCAGCTATGCCTTGGGCATTTAACCAATGCAGCAACTAGTGTGCTTCACCCCCAGCAGTGCCCAGCATTGTTGTCATCACTATGCTACAAACTCCTCCCGCATTTAAAAATGGATCCATTTAACCTGAACCATAAACATTTTATTGTCAACTATGAAAAACTGAGCCCCTGTGCTCACAGAGATAAAGAAAGCTTGTCTAACCCACAGACAAACGTAATGGATAAAACTGAGCAAGACATCACACAACCCATCCCTCTTAATGGACTACAGTTGCACATTCGATCTCACCAAACATATTATGATCTATGAAACCATACTGTACCTTGGTTGATATTATATTTCCTGATATAGCAGAATTCCTTGCAGAGTGACTGTGGGTAACTCCTTAAGCCAAGGCAGTCACTCTACCTGTCCTGATAAGCCATGAGCTGCAGCAACCAGGGAACCTGGTTGAGCAAGAGTGGGCAGCAAAAGTGCAGAAGCATTAGCTCATTTCTATTTGGGATACACTTTAAAACAGAGACGTATGTCCATATTCTTTGCCCTGTTTGTTTCACCTTTGTGCTTCAAACACTTTGCAGTGTTCTAGTTTTATTTTAAATGCTACTTTAAATAAACACCTTAAAATTAAAATTAAAATTAAAAATCCTCAAGTTTAGTACATCCCTGCACAATGCTCCTGAGGTTCTCATCTCACAGAGACAACCAGGATATAAGAAAGACTAGAACTGGGGCTGTGACTGTAAACAAGATTGGATGAGATGGTGTTACAACCAAAATTACCTGGCAAGAGCAGGAAATGTAAGCAGAAAAGAGATGGAAAGAAGGAAGAAATTGCTTACAGAAAGTCAGCAGTGACTAGTCAGAGCTCCCCATATAAACTGCACCTGGGTGATGCCCTCATATGAGACTGAGCCTTCTGCTAAGACTGCAGCTGTCACAGTGCCCACATGAACGTAGGTACTCTCTGATTTACATAAGGTTGTTATGGACAAAAAGGATGCTAGCATATTGCCTACTGGTTAGGTGATTACATTCAGCAGTAGACATGGTGAATGCTGAAAGCCAGCAGTTAGTACATACAGTACCACTGAAATAAAGAGCACTTTGTGCACTGTTCACTTCACAGCTTACATTAGCATCAGTATTTGCAAGCTATATTTACCACAGCCATAGAAATCTTTGCAGAAAGTAATAACTCCCTTATTTTTCAATGTCTCTGAAAGGTCTTTGCAAACTTCAGTGGCTTAAAAAGATGAATATTTTACTGTCTTTCCATTAAACAAGAAACCAGCTCAGAAAGCAGCAATTAAAAATAAATAAATAAATAAAATTGCCAGGTTCTTTCCTCCCCCTATGTTTCCTCCACCCGTGGCTTGAAGTTCCAGTTCACGGAGCATATGAACAGTTCCTGACAGCATCGTAAGGCACAGCTGCCTTTTGCATTGGCCAGCATTTTTAAAAGGGACACAAATTATAAGGGCTGCTCTGAAAGTAATGTGCTCTATTTTATTATGTTGGCCAGCAGTATCAGAGACAGCTGTTGGTGGTATGGCAGAAGAAGTTGAACCTTCCCACCAATATTCGGTTACATTTTCTTGCCAGTGACAGATGGCAGCAGAAGAACAGTCTGACAAAATGGGATCTGATGTGGAAGTACATATGAAACAAAGGTGTGACACTGAATTCCTTTGCACAGAAAAAATGTCACTTGTTGACATTCATCAATGCTTGCTGAACATTTATGGAGACCAACTAGTGGAAGTGAGCGCAATGAGACAGTGGGTGGTGCGTTTCAGCAGAGGTGACAGCAGATTACATCCAAATAACTGTGTACCAAACTGTGTACTGGTTTCAATGCATTGGTAACAATGATGACAATGTTGGAATATCACAAAGTTTGCACCAAGTGGGTCCCATGACTGCTCACATAGGAACAGAAAAAACAGCATATGCAAGTTTGTCAGGACCTGTTCAAAAAATATAGAGCTGAAGGGAATAGTTTCCTGGATTGTATCATCACTGATGATGAGACATGGTGTTATCACTACATGCCTGAGTCTAAATGGCAGCCCATGGACCAGCAACATGTGAATTCCCCATCTAAGAGAAAGTTCAAGACACAGCCCTCACTGGGTAGTGATGTGTGTTGTCTTTTGGGATAGAAAATGGGTGGTCCTTCTGGACTTCCTTGAACAAACCATCAACTTTGAAGCTACATTGCAACACTAACTAAGCTTGAAGGCTTGAACTTCCAGGCCAGAGAAGAAGACAGCTTTTCCCTTGTAACACTGTAATATCAGACCTGGTACCAGTTCAAAGACCATGGAGCATATTGCCAATCTTGGCTGCGCTTTACTACCACATCCACTCAGTAACCTGTATTTAGTGCCTTCTAACTTCTGTATGTTCAGTTCAGTGAAAGACGGACGGAGTGGGCAACATTTTTCTAGCAGTGACACCATCACAGCAGCTGTGATAGTGGTTACCTCCGCTGGTGCAGATTTTTACAAGTGTGGCCTACAGGATCTTGTTCATTGCCAGTGAAAGTGCATAGTTAATGGTGGTGCCTACGCAGAAAAATAGTGTTTTGTAGCTGAAAATTTGTTGTATTAAAAATGTACTCTTTGTACCTGTTGTATTTTCCATAGGAGGCATTACTTTTGAAGCAACCTATGTAAACGCCCACCTGCGCTGGTCTCATGTTCATTGCATACACAAGTTTACTCTTTCCTAATACTCATTGTTGCTGTAGATATTGGCATTCATTATTACTGTATGAAATTAGAATAACAGAATCACCAAGGTTGGAAAAGACCCACAGGATCACTCAGTCCATCCACCTGCCAATAGTTCTCACTAAACCATGTCCCTCAACACGATGTCCAAATGTTCCTTGAACACCTCCAGGGTTAGTGACTCCACCACTTCCACGGGCAGCCCATTCAAGTGCCTGACCACTCTTTCAGAGTAGTATTTCCTAATGTCCAGCCTGAATGCTGAATTGTGAATTCAAAAAAAAGGCAAATGAACAGGGCATTCTTTCAAGCTGTTCTGTTAGAGAACCAACTGCACAGGAAAAAAAAGTCTTAAAGGAAAAGAAAAGTAGGAAAATGTGGTCACTACAGTTATTGCCTAGTAACCTAGAAAGTTAAATACCAGCATTACTAAGAGTAAAATCCAGCTCTTTCGAATCTCATTTAAAATGTAATGCTTTCTTTGGTTTGTAGCCCCTGTACAGCGGCACTTTGGATACAGTGCAACACACAGTATGCACCCACATAATTGAAGGTGCTGTTGAAACGGAAGAGTTAAGGGGGAGATGATTCAGCACCTTTAGCTTGCAAGGGCAATCTTACAGTGGGTCTAAGCTTTCACGTTGTTAATTCAGGTCAGATGTTAGGAAATGTTTGAGAAAGGGTGGTGAGGCACTGGCACAGGCTGCCCAGGGGAGTGGCGGAGTCAGCGCCCCTGGAGGTGTTCAAGAAACGTGTACATATGGCACCGAGGGACATGGACACTTCTTTCCAGAAAGGGTTGTTAAGCACTGGAATAGGCTCCCCAGGGAGGTGGTTGAGTCACCATCCCTGGATGTGTTTAAAAACCGTTTGGATGTGGTGCTCAGGGAGGTGATGTAGTAGAGGGTTGTTAGTTAGGGTAGTATGGTTAGGTTGTGGTTGGACTTGATGATCTTTAAGGTTTTTTCCAATCTGAGCAATTCTATGATTCTATGGTTACCAGGTACGGTGGTATTGAGCTGATGGCCGGACCGGACAAAGTCAGAGGTCTTTTCCAACCTCAGTGATTCTATGATTCCAAAAGCTTAACACCTCCAAGAAACACAAGTCAGTATGAGTATAGGTGCACAACACACCCCACCGCTCCCTCCTCTCGACCCCCACAGGCGATCCCACAGCAAAACCCCAGCCCCGGTCGGCCGCCGAGACATGCTCAGTGCTCACGACGGCGCCCCGCCCCCCCCTGACCCGGATACAGACAGGCTCCGCTCCGCCCCAGCCCGCTGGGAGCTGGAGCCGGCCGGCCCCGCCGCGGCGGAGCGAGCCGAGCCATGGGGCCGCAGTGAGTGCCCGGCACCGCCCCGCTGCGCCCGGCCATGGCGCCCATGGGGATCCGCCTCTCCCCGCTCGGCATGGCCGTGTTCTGCCTGCTGGGGCTGGGTGTCCTCTACCATCTCTACTCTGGATTCCTGGCCGGCCGCTTCGCCTTCTTCATGCTGAGCGAGCCGGCGGCGGGCGGACCCGAGGGATCCCGCGGTTCGGCGGCCAACGTGGACCTGCGGGAGCTGCTGGCCGTGTCTGTGCTGGCGGCCGTGCGGGGCGGCGTGGAGGTGCGGCGGGTCCGCGATGGCAACGTGCTTAACGAAAAGGCCAAGGGGAAGACGCGGGAGGGGGCCGAGGAGAAGCTGACGAGCGGCGACCTGCTGTCCAACCGCCGCATGTTCCACCTGCTGAGGGCCGCCTTCCCCGCCGTGCAGGTAGGTGGGTGCTGCGTGCAGCCGCCGCTCGGGGAGCGACACGTGTCGGCGTCCGGCTGGGGACGGGGCGCAGGAAACGCGCTTCTTTTCGTGGTTGACTTTGTGGCGGGTGCCACCTCATCGTGAGTGGGAGGAAGGGGTTGGGAGAGTGAGGAGATCCAAGCCCTTCTAGCTCCTGTAAGCAGGCATTTAGTCGGTTTTCAGTGCCTGGTTAGAGGGTCCTTTGGGTGTGTGTCTCTTCGTAAAGTGCTGTACGGACCACATTCACTGTGAAACCATCAGATTGATGGATTGTTGATGTGGAGTTGTTAAGTTCTTCATCTTTCTCTACAAGAGTATTGGCACGCCTTCAGGCCGTGCTCTGAAGGTGAATGGTTTGTCTGTCAGCGACAAGCTGCCTTAAGAAACTCTGTGTTGAAGGAAAAGTCCCGGATTGTTATGGTGTGACTATGTGGCTGCTGAAAGTAACGCATTTTGACCCCTTTGTAGGAGGAGGGATTGCCTTTGTGTAGGTATAAAGGCTTTCTGTGTTAACTGAAGGCTGGGGATTTGCTTTGGGATTAGAGCTTGGTGCAGTGCTTGCTCTGTGTGTGGCTGCCTGTGTGTGCCCCTCTCAGGTGACGGTCTGACATGGGTCTTTTCTCTTTGAAGGACATGAATATTGAGCTTTCCATGCTTGAAAACAGTGTTTTGCTGTATTTTCCAAGTAGATAGCATTTTCTGCTATCCTTCAAAAACTGATGGTACTCCCTAAAGCACAGATATGTTCACAAATTCTGAAATCAATCACATTTATATACATCCCAGAACCGGGTAAAATTCAGGTGTATGACTTTATCTTCTCCCCGGTTCTCTACTCCGTTAGATTGAATGAGCTTGAGAGTTTAAGAGGATGAGGAATAGAGAGTTTGACAAATCCTTCAGCTGATTTAATGTTTCTAACTCTGACAAGTCATCTCTGGGATATTTGAAGTATATGATCTGAATGATAACACCTTCTTTCATTAGGTATGTAAGAAATATCTACCAAACTGTGTATGTTGGTAAAACATGCTGTCTCAGGCTGTAGCATGCTGAACTGGTGAGGCTCTGGCACAGAGGGGTACCTTGTGGATGCCCCATCCCTGAAGGTGTATAAGGCCAATTTGGATGGGGCTCTGAGCAACCTGATCTGGTGCCTGATTTAGTGGTTGGCAACCCTGTGCACAGCAGGACGATTGGAACTGAATGATCTTTGAGGTCCCTTCCAATTTAAGCCTTTTCTTTTTTTTTTTTTTTTTTTTTTTTTTTAAACTATTTGCATGTTACAGTACAAAATTTTCAGGTGTGAAGACAAGATCATCTTCATCAGTAATTCTGTTGTGTACCTCTTGCATCCTCTATTTTAAATTCCTACTGTTTACGGAATAGAACTGTAATTTGTGTTGATAACGATATGAAGTTTTTCTGAGACATCTTTCATGTGAAGCAATAAGGCCGCAGCCTTATCTCCAAGTACAGACGGACACTCCGGCATAAAGAATGTTGCTCAAGTAAAATAGAAACCCTTCTCTATTTTTGCTCAAGAAGACAGTGGTAACAAAAGAACAGTCACACAAAAACTGAAAGAATTCAACAAAGTTTGTGAGTAAAGCAAAATACTGATTTACTTGCATCATGGAAGCCCTAAGCTTAACGGGTATCTCAACGTTAAGCTCATGATAAATTGTGGCTTTCCAATGTTTAAAAATAACTATGGGGAGAAGTCATTTGACTGAAATAAACCGAAGTCAGTGAGCAGTCGTGGATGTCCTGTATCATGCTGCTTGGCAGAGCACAAAATGTGCAGTCTGTCTGAAGTAGAACTTCTTCTAGGGAGGGAGTGGTTATTAAGAGAATATAGGAAGAGCTAGACCTTCACATGTGGAAGCTGGAATAAATCTGGGAGGATTCTCACAATTCATTTAGTTGTGATTTGAAAATATATGTATATATATGTATCAAAATTTGAGGGGAAGAAGAGGGGAAAAATGATTAATACATAAAGAAAATGTTTTGCAAGTAATGCTGTTTTCATTTACAGTGTAACTCCACTGCTTACATCTCCAGTTTTGTTTGATACAAATATATGTATTTGCATTTAAAACCTGTTGCAGCAAGGTTGGATGAAACAGAAGAGCAACAGATCAATTCAGTTTTATGACTGCATGGGAAATGGAACAGTACTGTGTATTGTTGCTATACCCCCCAACAAAAGGCACGGGCAGGTGGCAAGTCCTTTCTAACTCAGATATTGGCCAGGGTTGTCTCAGTGCAGTCAAGTGCAAGCAGTGAAAATTTGCATCTCCTATGAAGCTTGTGTGCAGGTGACTTCAAAATGCATTTCATGGTCAAATATGCACAATGGTTTCTCTTGATAAAGTCTTCAACTGCAGCCACAGGCTTGAGATTTATCCTCAGCAATGTTGTCTTCTTCTATTTGCTTGTCATGCTAAGAAGTACTCAGGGGTCTGATCCAGCTAAAATCATCTCTTCTGATTCTTTCTACTTTACTTATTTACCTTTTCTGGGTTACTTCACTGTTTGGTTTTTGGGTTGTTTCTCCGTGCAGCTCAACTTACTCCTTGCCCAGCATTTGTGAAATAAGGACTGGCTTTGGGAACTGGGTGAAGGCTTTGAAGTGATGCTCAAGCCAGCCCTGGTAAAGGATGGAGCGAGTGGAGAGGAGAACCTATGATTCCAAATCCAGTTGGAAACTGTCAAGAATCCTGGATATGCTCTGCCTGGAAGATCTGCTCTGTTTGAACAGATGACTTGTTCAGGAGTTTCATTAGCATTACCCACTACAAGAGTTTATCTGAGCACTACATGTCAGGGTTTTCTGTTTTAACAGTGCTGCCTGTGTGGAAGTTGGTGTTGGAAACTTGATATCTGAATGCATCCAAGGTAAAAAGTGTAAAATAAGTAACACTTTAAGAATACTTAAATGCTTCACTTTGCATTGCGGCCCTACTGACAGGCTGCATCAACACATCAGAAGGAACAGTGTACTTGCACAAAGGGGTGGGAATGATTTACTAGGGAGGTGCATTCTCCTTAAATGTGAGCTTTGGCCAAAGTCCTGTTCTCACATTGAAAAAGCCAGTTTTAAAGTGGCACACATAGTTCTGCTTTTTTGCTTCTGCACTACACTGCCATGACTTTCACAGGATGCAGATTTCAGTCTTGCTAACTCAAATGATCTCTCCCCCTCCTTAGGCAGTTTGTGCTTATTTTTGACCAGTACTTTGATATTTTTTCTCTGTAGTTGTGCCAGCTGTATGTCTTGTTTTCTGAATATTGAATATCGAGCAAAGAAATACCCTTATTTTCTTCTTGGTTTATTGTGACTGTAATGGAAATCAAGTCTTCTCTTCCCAGCCTTTCCCTTTAAGCATCTTTTCATTGGTCTTGACGCTGCCCTGAACCTAATGGTTCTTTTATCTATTTAGAATAGAGTAGAATCATGGAATCCTTAGAGCTGGAAGGGGCTCTTCAAGGTCATTTAGTCTAACTCCCCTGCAGTGAACAGGGACATGCATAGTTAGATCAGGTTGCCCAGAGCCTACCCTTGAATGTCTCCAGGGACGGGACATTTGCCATCTCTATGGGCAGCCTGTTCCAGTGCCTTACCGCCTTCACTGTTTAAAAATAAAATAAAATAAAAATACATGTACCTTGAGTAAATGTACCCTTTTTAAGCTTGAAGCCATTTCCCCTTGTACTATCACCATAGACCCTGCTAAAGAGTCTGTCCTCTTCTTTCCTGTAGCTCCCCTTTAGGTACTGAAAGGCCACAATCAGGAGCCTTCTCTTTTCCGGGCCTAAGATGGCAAGCTCTGCATCTGATAACTAATTCAGTGGAGTAAGATAGGTATGTCAAAGGACTAGATCTTAAGAACAAAATGCTACTTAGATTTTAGAAGGGTTTCGGTGCTCTCCAGCGTAAACACAGTAATTTGTTTCTTCGTGTTGGAAGAAAGGCATTCTTAGTTCTTAGGGCTTTAAGAAAGTTGACATTCTTTTGGCCATCATGATCATAGTGATTACAAGCATATTTGTAAGTAAAGCAAGAAGCATGAATGTTAATCTGTATTCTCATCAGTAGGTGTTGGCTGAGCATACACTTTTTAATATGGGTTTTACCTGATGCTCGTTGACTCTTGCTGAGTCTGTACCCAAAATGAAATTAAACCCCCAACTTCATGGTAACAGACTCTGTGATCTTATCTTTGCAGGTATAATTACCAGTAGCACTGTGCTTGCAGCAGGGCTGTCTGGTCTGTCAGCTGAGCACCTGGAGCTCTGTGCTGGTGCAGTGCCTCACAGAGCACAGAGCTCCTTGGAGCTGCTGTGTACGTGCTGTTCTCTGCTCCTGCGTGGCTGGGGTCTTAGGTTGACAAGTGGTGCTGTGGCACTTACAGCAAGCCTGTCATTCCTTTCTTTCTGTTGAACTTCTGTCTGTGCAGAACTGTGAATGTGAATTCTTCAATTTAGTGAAACAATTTGTGGACTAACGAGGGAGTGACGTTTTATTGCTTTTATTGTTCTTAGGTTTTAGTTGTTTTAACAGGTGTAACTCCTGTGATCGGTGCAATTTCCTCTGTTGTATTTCTGCTATTTTTACCAACTTCTATTCATTGTAAGTCAGGATGCAAGAAAATGAGGCAGCTTTGCCCTCTGGTACAATTGAGGGAGAAGTCAGCAACTGATCAAACAAAGGTGAAAGAGCCCAGCCTCCAGTGTGTGGGAGTATGTCCCTTCTCAGAGCTGGGTGGTGATGGTGGGACATGTGTGGCTGTGCAAGGGAAGCTTCCGTAAATGGAGGAGCTCAAAGGCTGCTGAGGGAACTTTTCTCCTCTGAATGCTCTTCTGAAGCCTAACCAAGTAACTGATCACTTGAATCACTTGAATACAAATGGCCAAGTTCAGTTTGAATCTTAAGTGTGTGTAAGGCACACATTGCGTAATGACTGACGAGTTGACTGTGTCTGTTAAGCAGAGCTAATGCCCTAAGAAAATAGAAAAGTGAAGTCAAGAACCTGTTAGTGTTTTGCTGATGTTCCTGTGTGCTGCTTCATCTGGGTCTTTAGGCATTTTGTTTCATGTTCCTGTTTGAATCACAGGAGTTACCCATTCAGCTGATCACTCTGTTCTTGAACTATTGTACTTGGAATTGTAAATTCACAAGTCAGAATATGAATACATCTTGTTGTTACCTGAACTGTCTTGTTTATGTTGAGTGGAATAGTAATTGTTTCCTATTACTAATAAAAAAACATCAAGATTTGGAACTGAGAGCACTTTATTACCAGATGGGGATCTAAAAGACTTTCAGGAATAAGCACATATGTAAGATGGATTGCTATTTAAATCTAACTCTTAAGAGTAGGTGATAGCAAGTGTAGAAACTTGCAACTTTATAGTTAGGTATGTTAACAGTTTGAGAGTATCTTGCTGGAATAAACTTTGGCTAAAGCATTTAGCATTGTGGTTGTTAATCTACCATAGATGAAGACTTGGCAGTTTAGTCAACTGTGTATCCATATCGCTTCAGAAAAGGTTGAAATTTAAGGTCACAGCCTTTGGAGGCTTCCAGCAAATAGGAATGGCAGGTAGGAACTCAACATCAAGCAGTAAAATGTGCCATCATATTAATACAAAGGCACGTTTTCCTGGTATAATCTCTTATATTTAAAGAAGAAAAGTTCTCAGTACTAAGGACTGGTGATTCTCTGTAAGGCAACATTATTATACAGACCTATAATACAGTTTCATAACAATAAATAAATTTAGTATATGCAGGTGGTGGAATGGCTGTGAGTTTCTGCGTGGCCTATGACTTGTATTCAGCCGAGGATGCAGAATAAATGGTAATACTGGTAGAAGAGTGAGTGACCCAGATGACTGTTTCTTTCAGGTGGCTTGCAGAGGAAGAGCAGAAAAGGGAGCTAGTGTCACGGGGTCTATACGACCACAGCACTGCTATCTTTTTTTTCCACTGTTTTTTCTGGCAGATTAGTTATGACTGTTGCAAGAGACTGCACTAGCAATATAAATGCTGCAACATCATGGGTTACACAATTTTTTAAGTAGTAGGTGTTTCTCTGAAAACAGTACCTTTTAGATACTTGCAGAGAATCACAGAATAGCCGAGGCTAGAAGGGACCTTAGGGTCCTTCTGGCTCAAGCCCTGCTCAAGTAAGGACACCCAGAGTAGGATGCCAGGCCCATGGTCAGGTAGCTTCTGAATATCACAAAGAAGGAGATTCCTCAGCCTCTGGGCGAGATCTCTGGTGCATCTCAGAGAAAGAAAGATGCAAGTCATGAAGTTCACACTGCCACATCCTCAGCACCATCAGCCACATGTGGATATGGGATTTGGCATTGGAGGTGTCTTTAATTCCAAAGATGCAACGCAGTACTTCATATCAGCTGGGCTAGCATTTTAATTCCAGAACTTAGCCTTTGAAACCAAAAATCTCAGCAACTATTACTGTGCAAATCTCTAATTTTACTGTAATGAAATAACAAGTGTAACGAGAGATTTCTTTCCTTTTTATAGGATTGATTCCAACTCTAGTAACTTTTTTGGAAGCAGCCTTTGTTCTGCATTCTATTGAGGAAATATATTTTGTTGCCAGTTTTTTTCTTTTCTTGTTAAAATGCAATTTCTTATAGAGGTGCCTGATATGCTATAGCAGAACTTGAACTGCCTGGAGGTTGTGTTGAGCCTGCCAAGTCTGTGGAGCTACTTGTTTTGACTCTGCAGAATGGTTCCCCCTGGGAAAAACACAATCATCAGGTTGATCGTACAATGACAGATGTTTAATTTGTAAATGTCATGGCAACTTCAAGGGTTCTGCTTGGCGTGTAGTGCTTCAAATACTGGTTTTACATGAAAAGACAGCTATGACATGTGGCTGGAGATGTTGAAGTTTTGCTTGCTTCTTTATTTTTCAGTCCTCTTGAACAAGATGGCCTTTAACCCTTTGCTAATAATCTGTTACAGCTGAGATGTGTTGTGTCTTTACTTGTCAAGTAAATTCAGTGAAAATCCTACTGATACAAAGTCTGTTATATTCAAATGCAGAATTAAAGAATGATTTGAGTTGGAAGGGTCTTTTAAAAGTTACTTAGCCCAGCTCCCATACAAAGACAGGGACATCTACAGCTACATCAGGTTGCTCAGAGACCCATTCAGCCTGACCTAATCTGATCACTTCTTTATTTTCATTGTTTTTCAGTGTCACTTATCTGTGACATCTATAATAATTTTGTTTAGTTAAAGGATATTCATCTGCTTTAGCAGTTAGATATCTGGATCCAAGCTAATATGATTGCAGACTCCTTCTGTAGTCAATAAGGTGAAATAGGTGGCTGTAAGTGGTAGACACCTCGCATCCCATGTCTGCTTGACATTTTGACATGGCTGGACATCAGAACTAATCAATAAAGAAAATCATTTTAGAATTACATTCGATTTAGCTTGCCTCTAAACAGGCTTTTCTGATATTCTGGAATGTCTTAAAAGTCCAAGTTGAGTACACTTAGGCATTTAAAAAACACATCTGAGCAACAAGCTTCATTGTTCTAATGAATAATTAGTGGACTGATGCATTGCTGAAGGCTTCTTATAGGCTAAAGCATGAAAGGCACAGTGATAGTGCCTTCCTTTTTACTGTCAGTAGAAAGAACAAAGAAGTACCAGTCTCCTGATGTAACTGAGGTGCTAAAAGGAAATGAGTTGAATTTATCTGAATTCTGTTTGGCATTACCTTTGTTCAGTTATATTACAGCTCTCCTGTAAACCATGCGTGAAATTGTAGTAAGCTAGTAAGTGTGAACTGAGGCAGGTTGACCTGTGTAACCCTGCATGAGGAACTGTGGGGGCATATGTTTTGTAGTGTAAGATATCATTATGTACAGTATTCTGTGTCAGATGAATCTGTTGTGATTCAAAGCTGTCTTACTACTTCAGCTGAAATTACAGTACTGGGTTTTGCAGAATGTTCATCCCTTCAGCAGAATGGGGTTGTGATTTGCACTAACGTACAGAGCTCTGATCTCTGTTCTGAAATGGGCTGTCTCCACTATCAGTGTGTGGACTGGGACAAGTGGATTTAGAATGTCCCTATGGAGACAAACCCGTGGTTGTTGATGGATAAAAAGCTTGACATGAGCCAACAGTGTGAGCTTGCAGCCTGGAAAGCCAACTGTACCCTGATCTGCATCAAAAAAGGGATGGTCAACAGGGGAGGAGATCGTCTCCTGGTTTGCCCTTCTGTGTCCCCATCTGGAGTATTGCATTCAGGGCCACCAGCACAAGAAAGACATGGAGCTGTTGGAGCAGGCCCAAAGGAGGGCTACAAAGGTGATCAAAAGGCTGGAGCACCTCTCCTATGAAGGCAGGCTGAGGGAGGTGGGCTTGTTCAGCCTAGAAAAGGGAAAGTGCCGGGGAGACTTCACTGTAGCCCTCCAGTACTTGATGGGAGCTTATAAATAGGAGGGAGATTGACTTTTCAGACTGGCAGGTAGTGATAGAACAAGAGGGAACAGCTTTAAGCTAAAAGAGGAGATTTAAGTTGGGTGTTAGGAAGAAATTCTTAGGGAGTGGTGAGGCACACGTTCAGAAGAGTTGTGGATGCCCTGTCTCTGGAGGCATTCAGGATTTGGTTGGATGGGGCTCAGGCAGCTTGATCTGATGAAAGATATCACTGCCTGTGAGGGATTTAATTCTGTGGTTCTATGTAACACTCTGTGTTCAAGAATAAAATTCAGTAGGCTAGACAGCAAGTGACAACAAGGTTAAATATTATTAACTGCTGTTTATAAATGTTATTTCTAGGTTATCTTAGTTTCTTGGCCTAATCTACCCTAAAGACAGATGAGGAATGTTACTGACTTGTTTATAAAATAAAACACATCTGACAGCTGTGTAAAGGTTACATCCAGTTGAGCTGCTTATATTGCTAGTCATTATTCAATCCCTGAAGCAGGAATATAACCTAGGATTCTTAATCCCACGTGTCATACTACAGTCTGCAAAGTACTGATAATAATTGTACACTTGAATCTTTGTTTACTGATCAGTGTAAATACAGTATTAGATGTCCACTGTGGCTGTATAGTGTACAAGCATCCTGAACTGAATATTCTGCTTGTATCTTTGACGCAACTGCATTTAAATTCTGAGTAAAAGATAGAATTCTTACAATGGGAACACTCCATAGGAAGAGTTGAAGTCAGAATTATGGCGTCCAACTGTGGTGTGGTTCACGATAAAACTGTGTATTGTGATTTTTCATTACTTGTAACATGATGTTAGCAACTTGTCAGTTGCTAAAAAATGACCAGTGTGTGCTGTTGTAGTTTGAGGTGAAGGGAGAAACAGATGCATACAAGATTTTCTAACTAGTCCACTTCTACAGTTGCTGCATCTGATAAATTAATGCACCTGCTTTTGTTTTCTTATCGTAGATAAACTCTGAGGAACGTGTTGATACAACTGATCAGGAGACAGTCTCTTGGGATCGCAATATTCCTGAAGATATAAAAGAAAAAATACAGCCTAAAGAGGTTCCAGCAGAAAGTGTTACTGTCTGGATTGATCCATTAGATGCTACACAAGAGTACACAGGTGTGTAATTCTAATGTTTGTCTTTTTACTAAAGGCAAAATGGTAAGTATTTAAAGTGGCATCTCTAAATACTGATACGTGTTTAGAGTGTGCTCTATCAAAGCTGATGTGTTACACTGAGCACATTTTTATAATGAAATCTGTATAGCTGTCACACCATAGCATTACTTTTATGCATTCCAATTCTGAAATAACCGAGGAATTCTTTGCAACAAAGTAATTACTAAAATAGATGGTAATGCCACTTACAGGTTCTGCTGGTATTGCATGTCTTGATTTCGGTTATTACTGTGATAACACTAAGCTCAGAATTTTTTTGTTCCTTTCTGTAAAGGAAAGAATAAATGAATATATTTAACTTGATTAAAATGACTTCTTGTTTCCGACTTTTGAAAAGGATATATAATTCAGTCTCTCTTTTTCGTATGTTTTAAGATGTCGCTTAAGCAGCTTAAGGCAATACAACTGAAATGGTAGCTGAATATTCTATTGATACAATCACTTATAAGGTGAATGTTCTTCAGTGTTTGAATGTTTCAGCTTTGAAACTATAGAAGATAGAGTATGGGGCACAGAAGGGAGAATTTAAGAGCACAGATTCTATGAAGATACACACTACATAAGATAATTACTAGCAGTGGCTCTAGTATGAGCACAAGGTACATGTACTGAAGAAGAAAAACTGCTGGGGAACTGGGAGCCTGTAAAATCTTTTGCTATCTACAAAGTTATTTGAAGATGAAACAAAGTTATGTAATTGTACCAGTTAGAAAGTAGGCTAGTCTTCAAAGAGCAGTGTTTATATCATGTCTAACCTGCTTTTTTCCTGCATTCTGAACATCTGTCCGTGAACTTTCTTCCTTTCATTTTGCCCACAGAGGATCTTCGGCAGTATGTCACAACAATGGTTTGTGTGGCTGTAAATGGGAAACCAGTAATAGGAGTGATACATAAGCCATTCTCGGCATATACAGGTATCTTTATCCCTTTGTATGTTTCTGATCTCTTCTGTCATAGTGTTAACTAAAATTCGATGTTTGAGAGAAAATCTCTGGATATAAATGAGGAAAATAATACTTGAGTGCAAAAGAACAGCACTGCAGACCTTGGATCCAGAGCTGTCAGTGTGCTGTGAGGCCCCAAAGGAAAATGCTATCTCTGTTTAATATAAAAATGATGCATTTAAAACAAATGAATAAATAAAAAAACAAAAACTAATGGAAAATATGTTTAACAATTAAGATTTCTTCAATAGGAGTGCTTGTAGGAAACCAAAGAAAATGAAACCTATATACATTATGACTGGTCTTGTATGTGCTAATTGTCTTTGACAGAACTGCAGCAGAACTTGGGTCTGTGAAATTACATCCAGAGATAAATGAAAGATCTTAATGGCAACTGTTCCTATGTATCAGGCAAGACTGTCTAAGGTGGCCTTATTGAGTATCTGACGTGTTTTATTAAGGCATATTCCTGGCCTAATTAAGTCATTAGTACTAATGAGGTATCAGTGAAGATAAGTTCACATTTGGCACTCTGTGGCCATGTGTACTTCTGAATGCTTCAAAGTAGTTTTAGTGTTCACATCTCATATAGTATACGCTTGAAAGAATTTCTCTTCTTGTTTTTTCCTTAGGCAATACTGACCTCTAGAGTTGTGAAGTTATGTAGTAGTTCCTGTGCAAGAAGTGACTTAATGTATGAATTTTGTTCTCTTTTGTGCTTTTTGAACACTTAATATTTTGATCTAAACATTTTACCTTCTTTAAATATGAACCTGATTACCAGTCATAGAATGATAGAATTTTCCAAGATTGGAAAAGACCTCTAAGATCATGCAGTCCAACAAGCAGTGTTTTCCATTAAGCTATGTTGTTTAAGTATGTGCTATGTTTTGGTATTCTTTAAGAATCCTGAAGGGCTTATTGGATTGTATTTTCTAAGTATCAACTTGTATGTAAATAAATGTTTTTCAGCACTGTAATCTTGAGGATTTAACTTGTTTAAAAAAGTCTGACATGTTCAGACTTGGCGTCAGATGAAATGCAATTAATTCTGTCATTCTGTGTGAAGAGTTTTCATTTTCCAAGCTGGAAGTAACAGCATGTTGTGAGTAGAATTGTTCCTAATAGTACCACACCAATACAAAGCAATGAAAAAGTCACTGTTGTCATTACACACAGCTCAGTCTGTTGCTGTACAATGTGGTCCTCTACTGAGATGCAATTGCTGGTTAGTCTGCTAAGTAAATGTCAAATTAATGGTTAGGAGATGCCACCTACGAAGCTTGGCTTTGAATTGCATGATGAAATAAGTAGTAGGTTGCGTATAATAAAACCAGTCCTCCAAAATGCACTATCAAATGTTTTCACTTCCTTCTTTAGTATGATTATCCTTTGTAGCAGTAGAACATAAGGTAACATTTTTGCTGTCTTTTTTGAAGGGTCGTTTTTGGTTTTTACTGAAGAATGTTTTTGGTTTTTACTGAAGAATTGTTTGAGGAAAAATTGGATCTAGATCTGCCTCAGAAATGTCTTCTAACTTTAATGATTTTTCAGTTGCAAGCTATTTTTGGGATTTTTTCCGCCTTATTGTGCGCTTGAAAGCATGACATAGGAGTAGTCCATAAGCACAAAGCTGTGTGTGTGGAGCTGTTTCTTTTTCTTTTATGCTTCTGTGCACGTGTGGACTTCCCTCAGTCAATCCTAAATTTTGCTCTTACGGAGGATAACTGAGTCGCTTCAGTCTTCTCCAAAGAGTGTTCTTTTATCTGTATGCTTAACAGAGAGCTTTTCATAAAGCTTAGTGGCATTTGTGTTTCTCTTGTAGCCTGGGCAATGGTGGATGGTGGGTCAAATGTAAAAGCTCGTTCCTTCTACAATGACAAGACTCCAAGGATTATTGTATCACGCTCCCATGCAGGAAAAGTGGAGCAGGTTGCACGGCAGACTTTTGGAAATAAGACTGTGATAATCCCCGCTGGAGGAGCAGGTTTGGTTCTTTAAACGTTCTATCAATTTTATTGCTTTCAAACTATTTGAAGGGGTAGCCATTATTAGACAAAAGGAAATAAGTGTGACATGAGTTCTTTCTCCTCTTTTGTTCATGTTCCCAGAAGCAAGCGCTCTGCAGTAGTGACACAGTATCTCGTGACTATAGAAGCCTGAATTCAAACCTGCTTCAGGCAGTTTGTGTGTATCTAGCCCTGGACCAGAGTGTTCTGTTTTGGTCCTGTTGAACATTGGTATACATTCACTGAAAGTGCTGATGCCTTTGTGGAAGGTAAAAGAATGTGTGACCAAATAAAGAGTCATGGAAGAGAATCATCTGGTTCCTAGATAACTAATAGTACATTAATTAGACAGCGTTACAAGAAAAAGCCATTAAAGATTGATACTATTGCTTTCATTTACATCAGGAAATAGGAAAGTGTTGTAACTGAAGACCATTGCTATCTGTCCTGTATTCAGTCCGAGGAGTTTTTAGCTATGTTTCATAACCTTACGCAATATCCTTTTGCATTTTACTGGCATAATGCAAATATGTGCATTATATTGCTTCACTAGTGTAAAGCAATGGATGTTTTTAGATCTCCAAAATCCATACAAAATTTGAATTTTACAGAAATGTTTCTTTTTAAGTCTTTAATGTGGAAAGCTAGAGAAGATGATCTTGTTCAGGCTCTTGACAGTGAATGTAAATCAATTTTCTTATGACAGAGGTGATGAAAGTGCAGCTGATTATATTAGGCCTGGGCTTAACTCTGCAAATGAAGAAATTGTTTAGCAAAACAAAAATGATTGGTTGAATAGCTGAAAAATTAAAATAAATAAATAAATAAAAAATCTCTGTAAAATAAAGAAAAGAATGCTATTTTAAGCAATAACTTTGTACTATGATAGACATAAATGGCCCTGGACTAAGTTGCTGTGACAAAGAGTGGTGTATATCTATGCATCTTTCTTGTAATAAAAAGCCAGAAAAAGAAGTAGACTTCACTGTAATATAGTGATCAGGGAATAAATATTTGAATGTAAGAGCAAAACTGTATTTGAGTTTATAGTTTACTTCTTTTAACGTGTCTAAATAAGTCTATGTAACACATAGGTAAAGTCTGTCTAAAGGAATCTTGAGGAAGTGTTTTTTGTTCTTACGGGATTTTTATTTCAATTTTCTGTATAGGTCAGATGGCAGGCAGGTTTATTGGTGCTTTCAATGTTGTACTGCACTGGCAGGATATATGCTTCATGACATCACTTTCCTGTATTTTGCATATGCAAGTTATTAACAGTTACTGTTAGGTTTTTCCTTTGTGTGGAATTGGAAAATGTGGTTTAACTTTTTTATTCTGATCAATTATTGTAGGTTACAAAGTGCTGGCTCTCCTTGACGTGGCTGAAAAGAATCAAGAAGAAGCTGATGTGTATATCCATGTCACCTATATTAAGAAGTGGGACATATGTGCTGGAAATGCAGTGTTGAGAGCATTGGGTGGCCACATGACTACTCTGACGGGTGAAGAAATTAGTTACACTGGCTCAGATGGCAATGAGGGAGGACTTATAGCCAGTATCAACATGGACCATAAAGCACTAATTGAAAAACTTCCAGATCTGGAAAAAACATCACACAAATAAATGTGGTTGATGGAGAAATACAAGTCATGCTTTTGTAGCCTCCAGATGCTCTGTCTAGAGAAGCAGGTTTGAAAACTTGCTGGGAAAGATGAACAGCAAAGCAGTTTGGTGAGGATGTGGGGACTGTATCATGCATTGGGTTTTCTCAGTGATGGTATTTAAAAAAAAAAATCAACAATAATAATAATAAGCAGAAGTAGGAAGAGGACTGACTGCCTCACACCTCAGTTTCCGTGTCTTTTTTTTCTTTTGGACCATTTTCACGCAGTCCTTACATTCAAGGAGCATATATGTTACATAGTTGTGAACATAGGAGAATTAAAGAGAAATCCAAATTGATTCATAAAATAACTGAAGTAGTTCTCACAGGAATTGCTTGGAAACTTTTACATCATGTTACTGTAGTTTTAGTGACTCCTTAATGAATTAAGTAGAAACAAAGATTGATTTATGTAGGTGTTTGATAACTGTAAACAATCTAATAGGAAAGATGACCCTGTGTTCTCTATCCCCTGAACAGAAAGCACAAGAAGATTGACACAAATTTATATGCTGCAACAGTCTATCTTTTGATAGAGTGGCACTCTTTCTGCTTTTGAAGAGGAAAATAATAATAATAATAAAAAAAAACAACGTTCTGTACTATTTTCACTTTCTCCTGAAGATTTAAACCAGTTTAATTCAGATGAGTTGTGAATGTCAGTGTTTTATTTATTAGTGAAATTATTTCCATATACCTTTTTAGAAGAAAGCAATGCTTCCTTGTATAGTTTTTAACTGTTAATTCTTGTCCTTGCTGACTTCTCTGTACAGTGTTGAAGATGCATGCTAGGTTTTCCTCTGATGTAGGTCTTGTTCATCACTTGGTGTTTGTACTTACAGAAGCATCCTCTTCAGTACCTCTTTATTGTTTGTTTGTTTGTTTTTTTTCCATCTTTCAGTAGAGCCACACTCATATGGAATGGCTGATTGGTTGATTCCCTTTACAACATGAGCTAAAAGTAGCATATTTTTTTTTTTTTTCTAGAACCTCCCAAAGTGACTTTCTGTCTTCTTAGATTAAGGGACATTCTTTTCTGCTGTAAGTTCTTGAGCCATCCCAAATTACTTATGGTTACTTAATTTATACATCCGTAGACTGTTTTCTGTTAACTTGAGCCTATTCAAGCAAGCTTGAAGAACAAGTGGCACTTGAAGTCCACAAAACCTTACTGAAAAATGCTCTTTGTGAGTCCAACTTGCATATAGAATGTGGGCCCTTTGATACTAAGTGCTGAATTTTAGAGTATCTCTAAAATAGGTAGAGTTCTGTCTACATTGGTTTTGTTGTTCTGTGCACCCCTCTGAAGGGATTTCAGGAAGTTAAAACAAACCTGTTATAATTATCAGTAGGTTCCTGTTTCTTCTCACAAAAACTAAAATACTTAATACAAATACTTTAAAAAAAAAAAAAAAAAGGTGTTTCAGTTTGGCTTTCTAAACCAAATTCTCATGTTTGTTTTCATCTTCTTTCACCATCCTGCTGTTCTGATCAAAAAGAGGTTTTTCTCCTTATGCCAGCTGGGGAATATGCGACAATACGTCTTTCAGTGTTCTTCTTGCTTGCATTCATGTTTCCAAAAGGTCTCCTCAGATGTTGCATAATTACAGATACAGACTTTTATGTTGTTAACTTACTGGCAGGGTAGACTGATTGCTTAGTTTCACTAGCCTTTTGGTACGGGTAGATTTTCTTCTGATTTTTTTTTTTCCCAAAATTGATACTATTGCTGCTATTTGTGCATCGCTTTTACACATGTAGGTAATATATGAAGCAACTTAATTTCCAAGTTAAGTTTAATGAACAGCTGTATATGCTATGATGGATAAGTGAATATACCCCTTTAGAAAAGAGGCTGATATTTTTCAACAAAACTTTGTTGAGCTTCCAAACCTCAATGAAAAATAAAAGTCCAGGTATTTACCAAGGCGTTAGTAATGTTTTACAAGATAATTGCAGCTTCCCCCCTCCCCCCACTCCCACCTCATGCTGATAGAAGTGGCTTGAAGCCTAACAATAATTTTTTTTTTTTTTTTTTTTAAAAAAAGCTTTTCTACTTAGTAATTAAAGAATTTGGATTAAATTATAAGGATGAGAAATAGCCACATTGGCCTGGTGTTAAAATTTGAGTGTGTCACAGAGCTTGGATGCACAATATTTAGGATAATTAATGTTTGTAGAAGGTGTGATTGTTTTAGATTCAGATTGAAAGCATGTGTACATTTACCTTGTGAAAATGTAACTGCTTTTAATTTGGGCAGGATTCTATCGCTTGCGTAAGTTGTGAGCAGGCTTAGCTTCGGCATAGAAACGAAGAATAGCATTACATATTGTAAAAGAGCTTACTGGCATTTTAGTTGAAGGCATACAGTGTTTGCCTGAATTATTTTTCCTTAGGAAGCTAAAAATGGTATGAAGAAGAGCCCTAGTTCTCCTTTCCTTTCTCCCCTATGCCGGCAAAAATACCTAGTTTTTCATCAGGAAGATGTTTGCTTGTTCAGATCTGCTTGTATTCTAAATTGCTTTGTTAGAGGCAACCACAGTGTTTGATATCTTTCCACTTCTGGCCTCTTTTTGGCCCAGTCTCATTTCATCTGCTAGTGCAGGAAAGGTGGGAGTGAAGTCCCCATTTAGTCACCTCTAGCACAGCTGGATAGCTTCCAACTCCCAGTTTGACTGAAAGAGAAGCTGCCTGAGTGAGAGCATATATGGGCCTCGGGTAAATACTTGGTTCTGATGTAAATGCAACTCTGGCACAGAATAGCAGGTGTTAGAAGTGCTTGTGGGTTACACATGTGTCAGTGTACTTTGTTTATATGTTGTTAACTCTGTACACCTATTTATTTGACCATACTTACACTCAATTCTAAAATATTTTGCAGAATGGCTGAAATGCACGTTTCTCTGGGGTGCGTTAAAAAGAGCATGGCCAACAGGTTGAGGGAGGTGATCCTCCTCCGCTTTGTGACGAGGTTGCATTTAGTGTGCTGTGTCCAGCTCTGGGCTCCCCAGTTCTAAAAAAGACAGGGATCTCCTAGAATGAGTCCAGTAGAAGGCCACAGAGATGATAAAGGGCCTGGAGCATCTTCTGTATGAGGAAAGGCTGTGTCACCTGGGTCTCAGCCTGGGGAAAAGAAGACTGAGAGAGGATCTGGTAAATGCTTTTAAATATCTAATGGGAGGTGGGAAGCAAATGGGCAAGGCCAGGCTCTTCTCAGTGTTACGTAGTAATAGGACAAAGAGTAATGGCCTAAAACTTGAACATTGGAAGTTCTGTACTATCATGCAGAAGAACTTCTTTACAGTAAATGTGACAGAGCACTGGAACAGGCTGCCCAGAGAGGTTGTGCATTCTCCTTCTGTGGAGATATTAATGACCCATCTGGACGCCTACTTGCGTGACCCTGCTTTAGCAGGGGGGTTGGACTCAGTGATCTCTTCATGCCCTTTCCAAGTCCTGTGGTTTTGTTACCTTAAACAATTGCTCAATGTATGTGAGTCCTACAAAGGTATATTTTCAAAAAATAATAATTAAACGAACAAACAAAAAACAACAACAAAACAACTTTATGGTACCATCCCAGCACCAAACAAGGAAAGTAAGAGAATGCATTATTTTAACATTGGTTTTCAGATGGTAATTTTTTTTTGTTTGAGTGATTATGATTACGTGAATTATAAGTGAAATTGTTCTGAAGTCATACATATTTTCTCTTTTTCATTCTGCTAAAAAGATTGGATGGTAGCACAGATGATACCTAGTGCTGTACCATAAGTCTTGACACACATCTCTTGAATGAGTGTTTCCTGAATAAATGGACACAAATAGGAAGATTGAATATTGTACTCAATTAGTTTTGCATTTAACCTATTTGCTAAGCTTTTACAGACAGATCAGGATGAACAGCACTTAAATCTACAGAGTGCAAAGCAATAATGAAAGTAGTGAGCAGAGATAGCTTACTTGGATGATGAATGAACCATGCAGATTGTTGCAACAGTTCATATAATTGCTTTTCCTGTACAGTCATTAAGAACAGAAATTTTCAAACTGGCTTTATGTATGAGATTTTTATTATTATTTTAAATTGCCAGTTGTTGGAGATCAGATATTGAGTGCAGTCAGCACTGGAGTTCCTCTCTGCTTTTTTGTTGATAAACGTAGATCTTGATATCCTTGTAGTATCATCTTATCTGTTGGAGTTGCATAGCAGTGGTGTGGTGCTGCATGCTCCTGCCCTAAACACACAGAACAAGTGCTCTGCACTCCTCAGAGGGCTGCAGTGTGAAGGGACTTGCTTGTGCTGGGTGTCTGCTGGCTTACATCCCTTTTTTTCCCTCCTGCTTTGGGGGTCAAATTTCCTAAGTAGAAAAAACAGAGGGGAAAAGGGCAGGTGACTTTGGGGAAGTCGTAGCAGAGAATACTTATTTTGATCTCTTGATTTAAGTTACATTTTGATTACACTTTCAGAGTTTAGGTAATCATACTATTGAGATTTAACTAATCTGATAAATGTCTGTGTGATTGTAGGCTCTGGCAGGGTGAGGGGGAAATATCTTTAACCTAGAAAGCTTGAACAGCTTCTTTACAGGCCAGTCAAACCAAGCCTTATTTCAGCTCTGTCATACAGACTGAGGTCCATGGACACAATTATGAATTAAAAATTGCTAAAATATACATACTCTGTCTTCTGCCCTGCCACCCTCCATGAGAAAACAGCTCTGAATGCAGTTCACCATAACATAAGCTGCTGGGACAAGCTGGTAGTAACTGAGGTCTGAGACCTTCTGTGGGGTGTGTGTTACAGTGGGGTGCCAGCACCTGCTGTGAGGGTCTTCCCACCTCTCATGCTGGTAATGCCACTCGCAGTTCATACCACGGGGCTGCTGAAGCCTTATGCTTTGTGGTTTTCTGATGTTAGTGGGTAGCCACTTTGCTCTTTTTGCTGTTCTTTGTTTGTCTGTGCTTTCTTGATCCTTGCTTCTTAACCCATGTGAACAAGAAAGACAAGGGATCAAAGGTAGAAGCTTCTGGATGAGAGGACAACAGCAACAAACTCACAAGTGTATTTTATCCTGAAGCTGGTAATATTTGGGACCAAGGTCTAAGGTGCTGACCCAACAAAAAATGGTAGATAGTGATAGATACCAGAAAAACAAAGGCAGCTTGAAGAGAATGATTGGCAG